CTCTACACTCTACACTCTACACTCTACACTCTACACTCTGCACTCACTGTCAATATCCCTCGCCTTCAATATCAATCAATGGGTAGACAAAATATATCACATATACGACGCATTGGTGGCCATCCAAAAAATTGCACAGTGACGCCCAAAAGCAGGCAACAACACACAAAGCACTCGCGCACGCATGTCCTATGTACATACTTGTGCCTAAATGTACAGCACTCTGCGTCTCTGTGTATGTGTGTGTGTCTGTTTATGTGTCTCTCTCTGTGTGTGTGTGTGTGTGCTGTGTACATTTTAGCGCATTTTTATATAATTTCCACTTTGTTGCCCCGTTTTATTTTTTGGTTGTTTTGTGCTGTTTTTTTCTGTTTTTTTATTGCACCGCGACCTTGCCGCGCCACACCAGGCGCCATGCAACCAGCATATTAACTTTGACTGCATTTGCATATGCAGCAACATCAGCAGCAGCAGCAGCAGATGCAGCAGCAGCATAGCTACTGCAACTGCAACTGCAACTGCATTTCGTCGTTTTTTTTTTTTATCTTTTTTGCATTTTTTTTGGCTTCTTTTTTCATAAAAAACGCCCAGCGACTGGTCAGATAATCGTTGGCTGCATGCATCCAACCTTTTTTTGGGGGTTGTTTTGCACGCACACACACACATACGCACATACGCATCAAAAAACGTGCAACAAAATTTTCATAAAAAAAATAGGGGAATACAATTTCTACATTGCACTTGGCTTATTTTTAACTTTTTTTTTTTCATTGCATTTCATTGCTGTGTGTGTGTGTGCGTGTGTGTATGTGCATAGGCCGCCCACATGTCGTCTGCCCAGCAATTGCATTCAATGTCATATTGCACTGAGCCAGCAGCCTCTGACTCTGCCTCTGCCTCTGCTTCGGCCTCTGCTCCCCACCCATCCCCATCTCCCTCTCTCTATCTCTCTCACTCACACCCACCTGCTCTCTCTCTCTATTTCTCCTCTTTGTTTGTGTTTGCCTACTTTTTGTGGCGAGTTACTTTGCTCGTTTTTTGGGCAGTTGGCGCCGCTGCGTTGCGTTGCGTGCGTTATGTGCGTTGTGTGCGTCAGAGCGAGTCGGCTGCTGGGCATCATTTGATGCATTCGCTTTTTTTTAGCTTCTGCTTTGCGCTTTGGTTGCATTTAATTTTTTTTTTTTTTTTTTTTTTTTTTTTTTTTTTTTTTTTTTTTTTTTTGGTGTTATTTATTATATGGCGCGGGACTTTTTGATAGGCCTACTCACGCGGCTCAAGCTCTGGAAGCGCTGCCAGGTGGGCAGGGGCATTTGAAATTTTTCGTCTATGTGGCGAGCGGAGTGCGCGGCTGCCTGCCTAACTGCCCCAACCCTCAGGAGCTTCATCGAGAGTGAGAGAGAGAGTGTGAGCAAGGGAGAGCGAGAGAGTGAGTGAGAGAGCCGTTGGTGCGTATACTTAATAATAATTGTTGTTGCTGCTCAGATGCAACACAGTTTGACTGTGTGTGTGTGTGTGTATGTGTGTTGTCCTTAACTAAGTAACTATAATGAGCTGCACAGTGAAGCAAACCCGACTTGAAATGCTCAACATTCTATTTAGAGAAGCAAAAAGGACATCTATATCATATATGTCCTTATATGAATATGATATGCTATGATATGAAACATGATCTAAGAGAGTCTATATAATTGATATATACGATTGATATCATATGAAGATTGATTGCTTCAGTATCCATGCGATATATATCAGTGTACTTATGTATGATACGATGTGATCTCTTGTGAATCTACTTGATCTGATATAATATGATAATAAATAGATGATCTCTAGGGCATGCGATATAGTATGATATACATAAAAGTGATCTGATGTGATATGTTCAGTACGGTACGATATGATCTCTGTAGGTTCGTTGGGATCTGATACAATATGAATATTGATAGCTGATCTCTGTAGCATCTGCTTAAGCATTCCTAAAACGCTGCCCTTTGCCACAAGGCTTGCGGCACTGTGAATTGGGCAGGGGCAGCGAGAATTTGTATAAAACGAAAGAAAAAAAAAACAGAAAAAAAAACAAAAAACAAAAGAAAAATGTGCTCAACATTCTTCTTCTTCTACTACAACTCTTTTTATTTTAAATTCCAATTTGAAACGTTGTGTTGTTGTTGTTGTTGTTGTACGCACGCACGCGCTTTGTTGCTGGCGTTGATGCAACTGCAACTGCAACTGGTGTTTGTGCATTATGTGCCATATGTATGCATGTGTGCATCTGTGCATGTGTGCATGTGTGCATGCGCGTGTGTGAGGGAGCATGCCGAATATATAAAATAAAAAAATAAAAGGAAAAGAAAAAAGTTTTGTGGGCATTTTGTTGCACTGGACCCAGCTTTTGACAACAGTATCGAACAGCGACGCCGACAGCGCTGCTCGTTGCGATGCTGGCAGCGCAGTCGACGCTGCTGTTCGCATAGGCCGAGCAACAAAAAGGACGAGAGTGCGGCGCTCATTTGCCAGTGCACGCACACACACACATGCACACACAAGCACACGCACACATACACATATGTATATATGTATATATAGGCATATGTATATTCAATAATATATGTATGTGTGTGTGGGGGACAGGTGGGGGAAGGGAATGGGTTTGGGAGGTGTGCACACACACGCACTCACACTCACACACACATGTGCATTTTTATAGGGTTTCCATTGCATTTTTATTTAATTCGTTTTTTCTGTTCAATTTTTTTTTTTTTTTTTTTTTTGAGCATTTGGATTACGCTTTGTTGCCTGTGTTTCGTGTCTCTCTCTCCTGTGTGCTTGTGTGTGTGTCGCTCAATTTTTGTTGCTCTTAGTTGTTTTGCTGGTTGCCTTTTTATATTTTTGGTTTTTTTTTTCATTCCTTCTTTCGTTTTTTTTTTTTTTTGTGTCAGTGTTTTGGGCAGATTTTTATTTTTCGGCCGCGGCTTTGAAACTGGAGGAGATGGAGCAGCGGCAGAAAATGGAGAGAGAGGTGATTCAAGGGCGGGGGGTATATCTGAAGGGGCAGCCGCTGCAGTTCAGCTGCAGCAGCAGCACAGGCCTTTGGTCAGAGCGGGCGAGCGACAGCGAGAGAGAGCGAGAGAGGACGAGTCAGGGTTCGGGTCGAGCCGGAGCTTGAGAGCTTTAAGTAGGGGTAGTCAAAAGTTGTTGTGCGTGTGTCGATGACGATGATGTCCATGTTGATGATGATGAGACGCTGCTCATTATGATGTTGCCTGCATATTATGTGCAAGCCCTGCAGCAACAACTCAGAACGGACTTTGCCGTTGGAGCATTGACAACTGCACCAACTGAACACATGTGCGCGAGCGAGAGAGAGAGCGTGAGTCAGAGAGAGAAAGCCGACGACGACGCCGGCTGCGACGTCGGCGACGACTGACTGATCCCAAAAAAAGTTTTCCTGGGCAACATTATATTCGAATAGTTCAGATCCATTTAGATGAACATCAGTTAGCTATCGGATTGGACGTGCGTCGAGCCGAGCCAAAAGCAAAACCAAACCAGCCAAATAACCAACAAACAACCAACAGACAACCAATAGACAACAGACAATACAGCAGCCGAGGATTTGCTTGACAGTCCAAGTCCTTGCAACAGCAACATGCAACAAACTAACAATTGTGCGTGCTGCCAGTGGCCGAGTTGCCGTTTCTAAAACTAACACAAGAACTAGCTCTAAAAACAAAATCAAAGCCAAACACGAAGCAGAAAAACTGAAAAAGGCGGCAAAGCGCGCGACGTTCATCTTTTTTTTTTCTTGTTCAAGTGCCAAGAGAAACAATTGTTTTTTTTTTTGTTTGATTGCCAAATGTGAACTGCGAATAACTGAAAAGTGAAGCTAAGCAAAACATAGAAACATACAAAGTTTGTGTCTCTCAAGTGTCACTCTGTGTCTCTATGCAATGGACTATCTTTTGTAGCCGCCCTTACCCAGTCGAAAAGCTAAACAACTCCAAACCATTCGATAAGTGTTTGCTTGCGCCAGCACTTGGACCTGAAGCCGAATCAGAATCAAGTTCAAGCTCAAAGCAGCTTTGCGAGAGGTAAGTCAGCTTTTCCAAATTTCCGTTTATGTTTAACACCTGCATTTCCGTTTCGGCTTTCACGCATACCTAAGTAAGTACACGATCGAAAGAAATTCTAAAGCATTTCGATTCGGTTTCTATTTTATTTTAGCTAATACTGAAATGCACAAAAGTATAAAGATAAATAATTATACTTTAGTATAAGATACTAGAATACTCCATATACGTTCAAATACTTTCAAAAATATTTTGGTATTTTTGGTATTCTGGTATTTTTAGATACTCTCAGTTGCTCTGGGATACTTTGAGATACTTTCAGTTTGCCTTATGTAAGAACATTACCAAAAGAAATTCAAAAGCATTTAATTCGGATCCTGTTTGCAGAAATCACAAAAATACATGGATATATACTTTGAGATACTTTCAGTTATTCTGAGATACTTATAGATACTGTCAGATACTCTTTGATACTCGCTGAGATACGTAGAGATACTTCTGGAGACTCTCAGTTACTCTGAGATACTTCTAGATACTCTAAGTTACTTCGAGATAGTTTCAGATACTCTCAGTTCCTCTGTGATACTTTCAGATACTTTGATATACCTCAAGATACTTTCAGATACTCTTAGATACTCTCTAAAATACGTAGAGATACTCTAAGTTACTCTGAGATGGTTTGAGATACTCTCTGTTACTCTGGATTCTATTAGATACTTTCAATTACATCACAGAAAACATCAAATTCAGTTATAATTTTAATGATTTTAATGAAAAGAAAATATATGCATTCATTATTATTAAATATTTTTATTAAAATGTTTCCACTGAAGTAAACTAAACTAAACTTTTAATAACCAAAAAAACTTTATACAATTTGTTAAATATATATATATCTGAAATCGCAAGGAAATGAAAACGAAATTTGTATTTACGACGGATACATAAATACTTTATTTGGAGATCATGCTATATTCGCATAGGATATATATATTACATAAAGAAAAAAGGACAAAATTTGAATGGCCTACATAAAATAATAAGTCCTTACTCTTTTAATATTTTCAATTAGCTTAGAAATGGAAAGACATTTCCTGGGAAAATCAAGTATAAATATATATGTCTGTATGTATGTATTCAGCTGGTCCTATAGTCCCATCCACCGACCAGCGTGAGTCAAGGTTTCAGCGCTTTGTTGTGCCCTTGTCCCCAGCGAATTGGCCAACGGATTGCGGCCGTGTATCGATTGATTCGCCGCCAAGTTGAAGTAAGACCTGGAAATAGACGAAACAAAAGTTTTCAAATTAGAATTTAATATTTTAATCTAATTCAAATCGAAATCTATGAAATACGCCTATATATACACACATATATAAGTGCGCCATAAGCTCTATTACACACTCCCATGCCGTTGTCGTTGCCGTTTGGCTGCTGGCGTCAGAAATTACAAAGTTATAAAAACAATAAGAAAAACGTTTACTTTATCATTTTTCACACCCGGCAAAGGCAACACAAAAAACCACACAGACACAGAGTGAGGTAAAGAGACAGAGAGAGAGAGTGAAAGAGGATGGGAGCAACCTTTCAGGCACATCCACAACCACATCCACATCCCCAATGTATAGAAAACTACTAAAACGACGTTTAACACGCGGAAACGCGAAAAACTTCTCGTACTCCCGTTAGACCCGTCCATAGTCCCCTTAGTCCAGGATGCGGCATGTGCTGCGGTCGTCCGAGAGCAGCTTCTGCCTAAGCCCCTAGCCACACGGCCACACACAGCCACACACAGCCACACACAGCCACACTCAGCCACACAGCCTCCGCGCCAGCCTTTGTCCGCGCAATGCAATAGCTCCAGCTCTAGCTCCAGTTCTAACTGCAGCACAAAAGCAGGCTACAAAAACAAAAAGACAAGGGCGCTCGAGTCGAGAGTGCTCGACTAGCAAATACCCTGAGCTAGGCGTGCATGGTGCTTGGTTTAAGTACTCTCGATTCTAGTTCATAATAAGGAAAGCAGCTGCTGGATCTGAAATAAACATGATCTTTGCCGAGTAGCCCAAGCACGAATGAGGTCCATTTTGGGTATGCTTTGAATAATAGGTGAATCTGGAGAATACTTCTATGGAATACAAATTATCATCCAACACTCGTTAGCTTTAGTCACGGCTCGATGCGACTCTGCTGACACTAGCACCCAATAGACCCGGTTTCAACTCCGTTCCAGGGTATACCAAAGCAAAAGTAAAAAAAAAGAAGAATGTAAACATAGACAGAGTCAACAAAGTTGTTTGAACGCAGTCACAGGACGCTGCAGGGCCTGTGCCTTTGCTAGGTGCAGAGCACTTTTTTTAAATAATTTCCTCTTCTTTTTTTTCGTTTAAAGTCAATTGCTGAACAAGGCAAACGCTATCGTCGTTCACTCAATTTGATGGCCCAATTGTAGGATCTGTTTATGTATTTACTTAGCCAAACGCCAACTTTTAGGCAGATCTCTCCCCCTCTTCGTCCCTCCCGCGCTCTTTCGCGCACATACATACACTTTGTCTGGTTGCAACCGCTAATGCGAGCTATTTAATATCAATTTGCATTTGCTGGCTAAATCGCTGCTTATTAATTAATCGCAAATTGAATGAAATTAAAGAAAAGTGCAATAAAAATGTGCCCTTTGCTACCTGTGTGTGTCTCTGTGCGTGTGTGTGTGCGTGTGTGTGTGTGCGACTCCTCTAAGCCTCACTCTATCCCAAACGAGCTCTCATTTAATTATGCGGTCTTTGTGTGCGTAATTGCCGGCAATCTTATTTAATTAGTGCAACTGCAGCGCTGCTTGCAACTCATTGCAGCAATTACACATGCGTTTCCCTGTTTTATACTAGCAGGGTTTAATGGTTTCGTGGGATGTATGTAACAGGCAGAAGGAGGCGTGGCAGACTATATCAAATAGATGTATATGTATGTATGGATTTTAGAGATGGGCAACGCGCCAAAGCCGCACATCCATGTCCGTCAGTGCGTCTGTCCGCTCGTATGAGCGCTGAGATCCTGTAAGGCATATATCAGATAATACTGTATTCCAGATAATACTATCAGCTACTCTCAGACTTTGATTTTTCTTAACCTGAAGTCTTTCTGGAGGTGCAAGTCACTACAGCAAGTACAATCAATAGATGTTTTGTACTAAAGCAGGAATCTCGAATAGTTATCTATTCGAATTTGACAATGATTAGGTGTGTACTTTCCAATCTACAACAGCATCGACTCAACAGAGAAGAAGAACAAGAGACAGCGATTGGATCAGCTAAGCTCAGTACAGTACAGAAGAGACGCAAGTCCAAATTTGAATTCCGATTCAAAACCAGAACCAGAACCAGCTCGGCATCACACAAATTCCAAGCAAAGAAAATAAGGCGAAGAAGAAGAAGAAAAAGAAGAAGAAGAAGAAGAGCAAAAACACACAATTTGTTCGCAGTTAAATTGACTGCAATTTTTTGTTTTTAGGCAAGAGCGAAATTTACGGCCGGTTCAATGACCCACAAAATTGAAACCAAACAAAAGCCCCCCAAAAAACAGAACCAAAAACCAAAACAACAACAGCAAGAGATTCCTCTTCTGTGTGTGTTTGTGTGTATGTGTGTGTGTGTGTGTGTGTGTGTGTGCCGATCTTGAAGCTGTTAGAGAGAGCGAGAGCAAGCAAAAAGGCATCAAACGAGAGCGCAGCAGCACCAGAGAGACAACGAGCGCAGGGGAGGGACAACGCGTGTGCAGTTGTCAAAAAGCGGACAAAAATAAAAACCCGAAACTTGCAAACGCACACACACAGCATGCATACAAAAATATCAAATAGCAAATTACTCATGCGACGAAGGCGACGATGACGAAGAAGAAGAAGCAGAAGCAGCAGCAGCCGAAGCAGAGGACGACGATCAGCAAAGCTTGTAAAATGACCAGCAGGGGTTAGTGGCACTCTGCGGTTCCTACTAACAAATGAGAAGGTGCATTATGCAGTCGGTAGTACCCGTCCACTGCAAGGTTAGATAGGAGAGACGAGGAACGAGCAATGCTCAGTGATCAGGGATCAACAACCAAACAAGTGACGATCAAAGGGATACGAAAATTTAGAGAGAGATTGCGATAGGCCAAAGGTTGCTGACAGGGGGACAGTGAGGCGGAAGCCTCATAACGGTGAAAACTTTGTTGCCCTTTCCTATCAAATCAGGATCGTAGCACATGGCGTACATGCATAATGGGTGAGCCTCGCTCGGACGGATATCTGCGTGTGCCTTGGCAATGCGGTTTCCAAATTGGAAGCAATACATTTTGTGGGTAATTTCATTAGAATTGATGGAATATACATGTATGTACATGAACATATACAAACTTTACTAAATTACTTATAGGAATTCCTAGCTACGTTGAAAGTCAAAGAGAAAGTGACCGAGGTAAATTCCCATTGTTGAGCAATCCAGTAAAAAAGATACAATAGAAAGTTATTGATAACGGATGAACAGCAGGTACAGATTGCATGTAGTATATAGATAGTCTATTAATAATATGTGGATATTATAACTATGGTAGATGCATAGTAGTTAGCATAAATACTACTATTTGCACTAAAGATATCTATCTATAAGCATGAAAGACGAATTTTCCATTTATACAAATATCTATATATTAATATATGTTAATAGATCTTAATAGCAATATATGTATATATACATACATGAATACGTACATATGTTCATATGTCAAGCCCGTACTTTATACATACAATAGACATATGTACATACACACACTTGGGGTATTTAGTCGAGAGCCAAAAAGCGCAACGAATTTCAATTCCCTGGTAAGACTATATTTATTTACTCTGTACATATAGACATATGAATATATACACATATATTGTATATAGCTTATAGAACCGTCTGCTATATTTTTTGCAAAGAATTATTGTTTGGGAACAGAACAGAACAGAACAGAGCAGAATTAATATTGCGTACCAGGAAAGGCAAGGGCCCAAACAATGCAAAATAATGCAACGAACCTTGTATCCGGTTAGACTAGAATTTCGGGTATTAAATGACAACAACAACAACAACGCGGCAGCAACGGAGACAGAGGCAGCGGCTGCGGCAGAGAAGCCATTCTAATTTAGCACGAAATTTTAGGCATGCAAATGTAGAGCATTCTATGTATGTATGTATGTACATGCACATATGATGTATGGATGGATGTACATACATATGTACATATGTATGTGCATACTACAAATGTTCATTGCTGCTGTTGTTTCTTTTGCGCAGTATCAAACGCCTACGAAAATATGCGCAACTGCATAGGCGACAGCAGCGGCAGCAGCGGCGGCGACGAAGGAACACGGAATGAGAAACGAGAACCAGAACAAGAACGACACTTGTATGCCTTTTGCACACACACACACACACACACACACACACACACACTCGCCGCATACACAACTGCAGCTATTCAGCTTTGCTGCTTCTGCTCAAAAGTCAAAAAATAATTTTTTTTGGCAGTCATTGACCCGAGCGAACGTCATGGCCAAGGCGACAAAGAGGGGCAGGGAGAGAGAGGAAGAGATAGAGAGGAGGAAGAGGAGGCGAAGGCGATGGCGATGGCAAAAGACGATGTAGAAAGATAGCAAACAACTTAAACACAGAGAGCGATAGTCGCCGCTCACACACACACACACACACACACACAATTTTCTGACCTGCCGATGATCTCACTGAGAGAGAGAGGGAGCGAGAGAGAGAGAGAGATACAGGGAGCGCAAGCGCATGCAGTTTCTTTTTTTCGCTCTCATTCGCCACGCACGTAGGCGACTTTTTTGGCATGTCTGTAAGTGTGTGTGTGTGTGCGTATGTGTGATACAGGGTGCTTAGAAGCTTGCAGTGCATAGCCAGACAAATAACCAAAAAAAAATGATTCACGCGAGGCGAAACCGCCAAATGCGTGTGGAGAAGTGCATTGACTTTAGCTTTTCAGCGATTTGCGTGGCATTGACACATGAGCTCACACACACACATGTTTGATTATGAATACTAAAATATATACATCTATGTGTGTGGGTGTGTGAGGCAAGGCTTTGACCTCAACACTGAGTGATTGACTAACTGCAATTAGCAGTTGCCCACATCACAGTGAACTACGATCACCGATCGCCGATCATCACTGATCAGACTGATCACACTGATCATACTGATTACCGTAAGATTGCTCCCCGCTCTCTTGCGCTGCCCTGCCAAATGCCTGT